GTAACTTCCGCTCGCTTATGAGAATAAGCAGCTTTAAAGATGGCGCGTGAGCGCAACGGATGGCATAATCGGTGTAACTGCCAAGGTCTGGGATAAGCTGTTTCACCTTATCATAATAGCTGTCGGACCCCAGGACGAGTGCGTTTACCTGAACTTTGTTCAGGCTATGCAAGAGTTCAGGAGGCTGGTAGGCTGGGTTGATCATCACCTGTTCAGTAAATCTACTTTAAGTCAAATTAACATCTGTATAACACGATAATACTTTTCGTCAGTACAGGAAAGATGAATTTTTTCTTTTAAAAAAAAAGGTTTAACACGCATTTATCATTAGTTAAAAAAGCCTAATGAAACGTGAATTGCTAGAAAATCCTGGTTAGAATTTTGAAGGTCGTGAATTTGAATATCGGCCCGGTGGCAAACTATTTTTGACGTTTCCCGTGTTCTTCAATTCCTCCGGGCCAGTGTAGAGAAGGTACCACGATTTCTTCCTTACATATCATTTCGAATTTATCATGAGTTATAGAAAGTTTAAATGAAGATGGCTGTCTTCAAACATACCACCGTGAAAACCTCAAATCATATTAAGTTAAAAAAAATGTGGTATTTGAGGTTATCATGGCGGTAAGATGATAAGTTAGTCTTCTGAATTATAAAGTCGTGTCGACTTCTAGGTACTGTTTCCATCTTCAGGAACAGAAATTAGTTCAGACATTCTGAAGTAATATCCGGTTAGACCAGGGGTCGGAAAACTACGGCCCGAGGGCCAAATCCGGCCCGAGAGCTAAGAACGGATTTTACGTATTTAAATTCTTTGAAATTTCAAAGTACGCGCTATTACGAAACTGCCGAGTTCAGTAGTTGAGAGAAAGAATTCTATAAATGTCTTCCAAGCGATGAATACGGTCAATTAATATCATATGCTCGGGGATTTATATCTGTATTTGGCAGCACCTACCTGTGTGAAAAGACATTTTCAAAGATGAAATATGTAAAATCTCAATACAGGTCAGCATTAACGGATGAACATTTACAGTCAATTTTGATTATAGGGAGTACTGAATTTAAACCTTAGTTTGGTGAAATGTTCCATTCTTCTCAATAGTAGAGCTGTATTTCAAACAATTATTATTATTATTATTATTATTATTACGTTACATGTTGTTCAATAAATTTGTTACATAAGTAGGCTTACCTATATAAATATCCTCG